AACCTAAAATGATGACAGAGGTCAGTAATTTGCACCAGAGGTACACTTCAACTGTGAGAGACAGAATGTGAAAAAAATCCATGAATCCACATGGTAGGATTTGTAAAGAATTTATTCGTAAATCAGGTGGAAAATAAGTATTTGGTCAATAACAAAAATACAACTCAATACTTTGTAACATAACCTTTGTTGGCAATAACAGAGGTCAAACGTTTACTATAGGTCTTTACCTGGGGCCTGTTCTTCGTACCGCGCTAAGTGAGTTAGCTGGATGAGATTGTTGACGATTTCGCGTGATCCTGGATCGTTCGGTTCCCCGAAGCCCATCCGGGACTTGCTGTCATAGCAACAGAGCCGTAAGCGTAAACCTGCTGGGGAGCAGGTTTACTTTATGTAAACAGGATTAGATCGCGGCCACGCAGGTATGCCCGCGTCATTTATACGAAAGCAACAGCGATATTCCACCACTGTTTCACCATAAATAAATAACATCAATGTAACTAAAGACAATGCAGCACCTGATCCATTTATTGATTTCACACAGATACATACAGGTCATTTCCTAAAAAAGGGAAATGTACTATTAACATTCTATTACATGTATGTGATTATTACAGATGTAATTCATATTTCAGAGTAGTAATTGCAAATTACTTCGTGTAATCAAGATGAGAGACCACGGCTATAAAAGCGAAGGTGGATTTGGGAAGCCTGTCGCAGCCATGTCCTGCGGAAGGTGCAAGATTGATAAGGAGAGTTTTCAGAATTCAGCGTATATTGCGGGACAGACAGGATCCTTTAGCTCAGCGCGACAGTGTGCTCATAGAGAGATATCGATTTTCCCGTGAGGGTATTATTTACTTAACCAACTTGTTGACGAGGGGGTGCAGGACCACCACCTGTCTTTTTTTGCTCTGCCCTTTTCTTGGTTGCTGTTATGAAAAACAAACAGATTATTTCAGGGTCTCTTTCCAAGAGACTAAAAGCAATATAAGTGATAAATATTACCATTCTGTAGAATATTCCTATATTTCACTTTTACCTGTTCCCATGTTCTAGTGGGTCCTGTTGTGGCTCTAATGTGAAAGGGGATATAATATAACATATTATAATATAATGTAATATAATATTGGATAATATAGTGTAATATATAGAATCTACCCTACCGCCTACTGGTGTTGGCCAGAGGGGCCGATGGCGCGATATGGCAGCCTGGCTTCTGTCAGTCTGCCCCAGGGCAGCTGTGGCTACAACCGTAGCTGCCTCCACCAGTGTGTGAATGTGAGAGTGACTGAATAGTGGCATTGTAAAGCGCTTTGGGTGCCTTGAAAAGCGCTATATCAATCCACTCCATTATTATTGTTATTATTAAATTACTTACGAGTTTAATTTGTCAGCAACTTTCTGCCAGCCCTCTCTCCTTGCTTTTGCAGCCTTTGCAGTGTTCCCTTGCGTTCTGATTAAACTCTGAAACTCCTGAAATCCCTCACTCAAGAGTTCTTGCTCTGCTGCCGAAAAATACCGAGCCGAGCGCGCTCCGTCGACATTTTCGCCGACCAATCAGAGGGTTGCCGATCAATGTTTCTACTATCGATGCGTAGCCCCTTTTACGACACCCAGTGATGTCACATTACTGCGTCCAGCTGTACTAGGGGAACTTGCACAATCGGTGGCTGACTAAATACTTTTTTGCCCCACTGTATTTATTTACTCCATTTCTGTTTATATTATTTGATTAAAGACAATTTGTTCTAGAAAACTGCATCTCTTTAGTTCATAAACTAACACAATCTTGTATTAAAAACAAGTGTAAAAAACTGGGGAAAAAGTTACCCTGGTTAGTTGTTTTCATGTTAGTTATACAGCAGTGACATACACAATCAAACAACATAATTTTACCATAGGAGTAAGTACATTAAATCAAGATGCTATATATAAGGTACTGAATTTATGCATTTTACCTTATCCTTAGGTTTTAGATGTCATGATTATTAGACAGGAGGTTTACTAATATGGTCTTAAATCTTTTACACATCAGATACTGCAGTGGTTTGAATCATATCTATATAATAGACTCCGATTTGTTTATATAAATGGAGAATCCTTTTCCCACAATAAAGTTAATTATGGAGTTCCACAAGGTTCTGTGATAGGACCAGTTCTGTTTAGATTATACAGTGGGATGCAAAAGTTTGAGCAACCTTGTTAATAGTCATTATTTTGCTATATAAATCATTGGTTGTTACAATAAAAAATGTGAGTTAAATATATCATATAGGAGACACACACAGCGATACTCGAGAAGTGAAACTAAGTTTATTGGATTTATTGGAAAGTGTGCAATAATTGTTTAAACACAATCAGGCAGGCGCATAATTTGGGCACTGTTGTCATTTTATTGATTCCAAAACCTTTAGAACTAATTATTGGAACTCAAATTGGCCTGGTAAGCTCAGTGACCCCTGACCTACATACACAAGTGAATCCAATAATGAGTAAGAGTATTTAAAGGGGTCACTTGTAAGTTTCCCTCCTCTTTTAATTTTCTCTGAAGAGTAGCAACATGGGGGTCTCAAAACAACTCTCAAATGACCCGAAGACAAAGATTGTTCACCATCATGGTTTAGGGGAAGGATACAGAAAGCTGTCTCAGAAATTTAAGCCATCTGTTTCCACAGGTAGGAACATATTGAGAAAATGATAGACCACAGGCTCAGTTCAAGTTAAGGCTCAAAGTGGCAGACCAAGAAAAATCTCGGACGGACAGAAGCAACGAATGGTGAGAACAGTCAGAATCAACCCAGAGACCAGCACCAAAGATCTACAACATCATCTTGCAGCAGATGGAGTCACTGTGCATCGTTCAACCATTCGGTGCACTTTACACAAGGAGATGCTGCATGCGAGAGTGATGCAGAGGAAGCCTTTTCTCCGCCCACAGCACAAACAGAGACGCTTGAGGTTTGCTAAAGCACATTTGGACAAGCCAGCTTCATTCTGGAATAAGGTGCTGTGGAATGATGAAACTAAAGTTGAGTTATTTGGACATAACAAGGGGCGTTATGCATGGAGGAAAAAGAACACAGCATTCCAAGAAAAACACCTGCTACCTACAGTGAAATATGGTGGTGGTTCCATCATGCTGTGGGGCTGTGTGGCCATTTTTTTATCGTAACAACCAACGATTTATACAGGAGAATAATGACTATTAACAAGGTTGCCCAAACTTTTGGATCCTACTGTACATGCTTCCTTCAGGCAGTATGATTTGAAGGTATAGCACACATCTTACAAATATGCTCAATAACACCAGGGTCGAGTAAAATGCCAGAAATGTTCCAAATCATGAAAATATTACCAACAGTTTTATTAAATATTTTATCTCAAGAAAAGAAAATCTATCCATAACTATTAGCCCTCTTCAGGGTGTCACTTATAAACAAAAGCCATTTTTTAAAACTCTTTCTTTTTGACACCAAGAGATAAAAATAGAAGTCAAGCTCCCTTACATTAGGTGTGAATGATATTTGTAATCAAATTAAATTAAAGGAAAGGGAGCAATATGTGTGTGTAAATGGTAAAAATCTCAAAGTATAACTATCAAATATGGGGTCCCACAGGGATCAGTATCAGGACTACTTTTCTTCCTTCTACACATTTTGTTCATTCCTTTAGTATTTTGTGTGCAATATTGTAATATTTTTCATAATGCATAATGAAGTATTTAGACTCGAGGACAAACTTTGTAATACAGTGGAACCCCGACTTACGAATACCCCGTTAAACGAAAAATTCAAGTTACGAAGGCACTGAACGCCAATATTTCTGCCCGTGTTACGGCAAAATGCCCATTTTACGAAATCCACTGGCTCTGATTGGCCGAGCCCAGAATGCCCAGAATGCCTTCCGAATCATGTGACAACCCCTTGGCTTTCGTAATTGCGCTTCGCTGTTCCACTTGAACGACGTATTGTTGTTCTAGTTAGCAATTAGTCTATAGTCTATCGTTCAGCATCGCCTCACTCAAAAGGCGCGATGGGTGCTTCGACTTACAAAAGACCCTCGGGAACAAATGAATTTCGTAAGTCGGGGTTCCACTGTATTCTCCATCATACTCTCCCTTAACCCACTCACACACATAACACTTCAACTTTTGAAGGGAAAGAAAGGCAAAACAAGTTTTAGCGTGACCTACAGATCAGGAAAGCACTGCAAGTGTTCAAAATCTTTTTCGGGCTTTAAAAACAGATTAATACAACAGCTGCTCCTAAAATATGTTTAGATGTATCGGATTGGTGTCACTGTACTTTGGCATCCTTGCAGGATATTTTAGGGATCTAGGGCAGCCTAATGATGACTTGTTAGAAATTGGAGCTATATCTCCTAGAGCTGAAGAACAGTCTCACCCCTCCACTGGCTCCATGGATAAGAACGGTCTCTCCAGCCTTGGCGTGCGCTCTGCACAACACAAAAAACCCACAGAGAAGGTGAAAGTTAACAGTATGGTGCTGCATTACTAATTAACCACCCCCTCTATTAAAAACATTGATCTTTCCTTTGTAACATGATGTATGTTCAGAGTTGGGATATGCATACATCTGGACTTGTCAGTGTGGAAAGAAGAAGATCAAGGTTTTGACCACCAGAGGGCAGTATAAGTACCACGCAGCTGTGTAGACTTGGTCATATGCAGGAAGAGATACATGTATTTCTTGTTGTTATAATATATTTTAGCTGACATTACTTTTTCAGCACTTTCTATTGTTATATAAGCCCACTAAAAGATTTTTACTGGACCTTGTAATTTGAATTAGAAATATTAAATTGAATATTATATTGAATTTCATTGCTTTGCTCTTTAAGATCTGCAGATGGTGGAATCCTGCTACAGCTCACCCTGATTAGAACAGGTGTGTCTTACTTGTGGATCAGAGCTCTGTAGGCGGTGAAGTACGGGATCCCAATGGCTGCTCCCTGTGTGAAGTCTAAAGCATCAGGCAGCTTGTAAACAGAGTCGCCAGCTACTACAGTGTACTCTGCATAGCCTCCAGTCTCTGTAGCTGTGGTGAACACACGATCCCCTGCCTGGAAAACACACACACATGTTCACACACTGTGCACACCTCCTGTATCTCCTTATTTAAGAGTTCATTCTCACATTGTCTCTGTGTATTTTCTACAGGATGAACTTGAACTTGGATTTACACAAGTTTTAAGTGATGCTAAGCAGAAGATGGAGGACTGATCCCACATGATTATATAACTGCACTGACATGTAGCTGCTATCACATCCATACAGTCGTCTGTACTCTAACCTTCACTGCAGTCACTCCTTCTCCAACTGATTCCACCACTCCTGCTACATCAGAGCCAGGTGTGTAAGGCAGGGTGGGTTTCCTTGCATACGTCCCAGCTCGGATGTAAGTTTCCACAGGGTTCACTCCACAGGCATGGACACGGATCAACACCTATATGAGAGAGAGAGACTTCAGATGGACTATGCCATGTGGGCTGAGAGATTAGGAGATTTTAAACACTATTACTCAAATATTTCATTTAAATCACTTGAACTTGAATAATAATCACAGGTTAAAAACACTGGCTGTTTCGGGGTGGCTGTAGCTCAAGCGGTAGAGCAGGTCATCTACTGATCGGAAGGTTGATGGCTCAATTCCTGGTTTCCCTAGTCTGCATGCCAAATATCCTTGGGCAAGATACTAACCCCAAATTGCATCCATATGAGTGTATGTGTGAGTGTTAGTTAGAAAGCATTCATACAAGCACAAAAAAATGTGCTTGGGTGAATGCACAAGTTGTGTAAAGTGCTTTGAGTGCTCAGAAAAGCGCTATATAAGAACCAATCCATTTTCCATTTAAACAACAAAAGTTTGTCCACCTCGGGCCATTAAATCTAATCTTAGCTACTTCAATCTTTAAAATTTCTAAATGTCTCAATTTGACCGTCATTTCAAGCTTAAGAAACAGCTGCTTCACTACAAAACTTCAACTACTGGATACATTTCTCAGATTTTACCCTTGATTTATTTGCTATTGACTATAACAAAATCAGATTTCTGACTTTAAAACATGTTCACAGCTTTTTTATTTCAAGTAAAAAAATGTAATTGCAATGACACTTGATGCATGTTCTGACGCAAGTGGGGGTTTACCCTTTTGCCACTTTGATAGTACTGTACAGACATTTAACACTCATTCAGTGCCAATTTATTCCTGTGTGATTCAGTACATTTCTTTGAGAACTGGATAACCAGTGCAGAAGTCCATCCAGGATCTGTCATCAGAACAAGTGTTACTTGTACTACTGTTTGCTAATAATTAAATTAGATTTGACTTCTACATTCACATGTAGAATTCAATATTAACATCATTCAGAAAAAGGCAAGTATATTTGTTTTGTCAACAGTCAATTTAAAAAATGACTTTATGGGCTTTATTAACTGAAAGGAAGCAGGAGATGAATTTGCACTTGTTTTGTAGCAGTGCTGTCAGGTCATTGTTGGTACACGTTCCTTTTCCACCCTTCCCTAATGGTCATACCTTTCTGTTCTATTATGCTTGCAGCTAGTGCTCTGCGACACTGCAGAATCTGGTATTAATCTGATACCAAGTATCAGTGCCAGTTTACAAATACTTATACTTTTTACTGAAAAAAGGATGTAGTGGAGAGCAGGGTATCATGAGTTTTGAGACAAAGTGTCTCAGTTTTAGTTTTTCATGTGTTTTGAAACTTTGTTTTTGAAGACCTGGAATGTAAATGTAATGGTGTCTAAAACACTTGGGTGAACCTCTGTTATTTAAATGTGCTGTAGGGTATAAATTAGGGATGCACCGATACCAATACCAGTATCGGCCTCGATACCACATTTTCTAAAGTACTCGTACTCGTTAAAAGTCCCCCGATACCGAGGACCGATACCACGGTCTGAGACCTGTCTATGTTTGAGCGGCATGTAAGGGGTTAATCACAGGCAGTGAGTGCCCGCCCCCAGGCCCCGAGTGCCCACCCCCAGGTCCCGGCTGCAGCTCAGAGCGGGGAGAAAGCGAGGCGAGACATATCAGCTGTGTGGAACTATTTCAAAGTGAACGAAGATGCGAAAACAAAGGTGGACTGCAAATTGTGCTCAGCACATAAATGTTCTTAATTCCAAACTAGTCCCTTGTTTATTTTTTGTTAAATTATAGGACTAAAGCTGTTATTGCAAATTTAAATCATGTTTTTATTAAGTACTCGGTATCGGTGAGTACTGAAATGCAAGTACTCGTACTCGTTTCCAAAAAAGTGGTATCGGTGCATCCCTAGTATAAATAAAATACACGTGATAGTCAACACAAAAAGGTTCAAACATTTTCATGTCTTTCAAGTTAGGAGGCATATTTTTCATTAATATTTAACACAATTCAGTGGGCTACATACTACAATGTATCAATCAGATACCAATACCAGCGTTGGTATCAATACTATGGATATCTGGCTCGATCCACCATTTCCAGTTGTAGCACGGATATTGTTCACATGTGGTTACTTGGCTATGATTAAAGAGACAGCTTTACATCTCAATGCTAGTGTAGTATTCTTAATATCTGACTTCCACAAATATTCAGTTCAATTCAATTTTATTTGTGCAGCACCAAATCACAACAACAGTCGTCTCAAGGTGCTTTATATTGTAAGGTAGACCCTACATACATACAGAGAAAAACCCAACAATCATATGACCCCCTATGAGCAAGGTGACAGTGGGAAGGAAAAACTCCCTTTTAACAGGAAAAAACCTCCAACAGAACCAGGCTCAAGGAGGGGCGGGGCCATCTGCTGTGATCGGTTGGGGTGAGAGAAGGAAGACAGGATGAAGACATGCTGTGGAACAGCCAAAGATTAATAACAAGTATGATTCAGTGCAAAGAGGTCTATGAACACAATGGCTGTATCCCAGATCAGGGTCTGCAGCCTTAAAGGCCGCATTTTAAGGCCGATTACATCACAGCGACGCGACGAAGGCTGTCCCAATTCAAAGGCTGCTCGAAATGCGGCCCTCAAATGCGTCCTTCATTTCCCTGAATTTTAAGGATGTGGCGGTGTAG